CCCCCCTATCCGTCCTGCCACCCAACACACGCACAATCCCAAGCACGTGGACACAGAGACTCGGCGTTTTTGGGAATCCGGCGGGCAAATTTGCCGGATTGAGGTCCGGCATTTGTTTAAGCCCACTGGAGGATCCAGGTATATGTTTGCCTCTGGGGGTTTATCTTAATCAACGGTGTTATATATTGCGGACACTCACTGGGAGGAGTGAAGAGCAAAGACCCCGGGCAAGCTTAAGGCCTCGGGATTTTAGGATGATAAGCTAGGCATCAAATGGTAGTGCCTCCTGGAAGCCATCCGCATGTGCAGGATTCCAAGTAGTTTCAAAAAAAAACATCCGACTTGGCGGTGAATTGGGTGAATATCTGGCATCTGATGTGAAACCCATTACATTTTTGGGGATAGGCGTTGATTGCCAGCATGTCGGAGGGTCAGCGCCTCGCCCTTGCCACTCGAGGTTTTGTTCTGTGCATGGCGGTAGGTCCCTTTCGGATCAAGGCCGCCGGGGCCGGCGGGGCCCTGCGACCCGACTGAATTTGAGCACCCTTTTGACCTTGGCAGCGCTGGGCCTTTGCACCCTACTGCTGGGCGATGGGATGACGATCCGGAGTATGTGAGCGAGTATTTCAGGTTGACTGATGATCTGATGGAGTGCAAAGTTCCTAGTCGTCGAGAGGTGGGCTCGTGCCGCGGTGGTTCTGATTTTTCCCTGAGGGTGGTTCCATGTGTCGAAGCCGGGTGGTTCCATGTGTGTGTCAACTGGGGATGGCACCGTGTGAATGATTGAACCGCCTGGAACTATATAACATGGAAGTAGAACAGGGCCCCTTGGAAGACCACTTTCCTTTACAAACAGGGGGTTGTCCACTTCCATGTGTGTTGCAGGGAGGGTAATGTGTCAACTGAGCCCCTGCGTAGCGAAATAAGTTGAGGAATCAATATGTTTGTTCGGGTTGGGCTTGTGAAGCGAGAGAGTCAAGGAGGATATAGTTTTTGGGGTGGCGAACTTGTGGATGTGTTTACTTCTAGGCCTTGTTGTTTTTGTTGTTTGTTTTCAAGTGTTTTCTAATCTTCTTTTGTTTGTTCTTCATTGAAAAACAACCTAGATTTCAGTGGCATGCCGTTCGTGTTTGAACGGGCGCCATGTGCTCGCGCCATGCTGGGCTATTGACCTACCGGTGAGGCAGGAGATGGATCCTAGCGGTGTTGAAATAGATGATTGCTCACCCAGACACTCCATGTATGGCACATATACCTAACCCTTTTCAACCACCTCAATGTAGGCAAATATGGAAGTTTGATGGAGTGCTTGGGTCCTATGGACCCTCCCAAAAAGCTGACAGAGGAGAATCCATGTTTTCCCCAGAGGAGGTGAACATTCAGCGGAAGCGGTCGCTGCCCATGCTGTTCACCACTATCAGCTAGGTTTCCTTTGCTGTGCCGGGGCCTGCCGGGTACTTCTTCACTGGTGCCATCTTTCAGTGGAAAGGCAAGGAGCCCTTTGCAGGCGGGACATGGCGGTCTGAAAGGACTGTGGAAGAAAGACAGGCCCAGCACCAGCACTGCGTGAATCATTTGAATCACCGTATTTATTCTAGGGAGGGTGTTTGTATCGATCAGGTGTTGCAGCAGGATTTCTTGCGATTTGATCCCTGAAACAGGCTTGAGCCTAACCTTGCCTTCATTCAACATTCTGTAAACAAAAGGCAGTAAAACCATCTCATAAACAATGGACCTTGGAGGCTCTCACCCTGGGGTCCCTATTGACTATGCACAACTCCTTTCCAGCGCATACCCCGCAAAAAACGAACAGCTGCGGTCTCCCATCCATCCAGCCAGCCAGCCAGCCCTCCAGCCCTCCACTACACCGGGAGCCGGTGACGCTTGGACGCAGGCGATCAGATGCAGACGCTCTTGGAGAACGGCCGCTTCTCCAAGCAGTTCTTGAGGGGTTTGAAGGGGTCGCTAGACCGAACTAGACCGGTCCAGGCCCGGGTCGCTCCCCTGAGCCTGCATAGAAAACACCGAACTGCCATCCTCGGCCGTTTCCTCAACCTCTTCACCACCCTGAGTCGACCGAGGCTACTTCTTGATCGGCCCCTTCACTTCTTTGGGCCCTTTGAGAAACACCCCAGAGGCCGCCACCGGCCTGCTGTGTGGCGCCATCGTGGGCCTGGCTTCTTGAAAAGGTGAGGGAAGGGCGGAAGACTGGGTGTGGAAGGGGGACTGTTTGGAGCACCAGAACCCAGGTGAGAGGCTAGAGGCCGGAGGTGCTCAATTTTGCATCAACCACAAAAACCACTTGGAACAGTCAACCGTGTCGCCACGGTACGCCTTTGATCGCCTTTGGGTCTATATCCTTTGACCCTTTCTTAGCCGCTTAGCCATTTTTGAGGTCTCGGTGGGTGGCTTGATCTTTGGCAGCACCATCAAGCCCACGCGCTTCGACAAGGAAGGAGATAAGCCCGCGGCCAGCCCCTTGCTGGTTAGTGGCGTGCGCGGGGGTTGGTCCGTGACAGAATTGGGTTGCTACATGTTGCATTATTTGTTTGGGACCAAGATCATGTGGACATGGCAAACTGAAGTCAAGTTTTGCCACATGGAGCGGCCAAACTTGACCCATCAGCCATCATCAGCCATCGGCATCATATTTGTTTTCATTGTCGCGAAGAAAGTCGAGGATTCATTGAGACGATCAAACCTGGCACGCGATCGGCGGCTTCTTGGGCGATCGGTTCCTGCCGAGATTCACCGTTCTGACCGTTCTTCGAAAAGGGATGAAGGTCCGACTCCACTCGGTGAATGAACGTGGACATCGAAAGTGGTTCTGGGAGGTATAGGATAATATCTTAGGACCTTAAAGGCCCCACCACTTTGGAACTCCTGATGTATTATATACAGTACATCGCATCATGACTTTCACATGCTTTCACTGTTTCCTTGAGGGTTCTCCGCACCTTGAATGACTCGGACTTTCTGGGACTGACTCGGGCGGTGGAAGACGCTAGAAAGATTTATTCTCGACGAGCTTTCCAGGAGGTTCAACCCTCACGCAAGAGATGAGATGTAGGAGCTTGCTAATCATAGACAAGTGGCGACGTCCAAAACCATGGGAACCCTTCACACCTGCGATGGGGGAGATTGAGGGAGCGCACTGGCTTTTACTTAACTTACTTTGTGCTTCAGTGCTGTGTGGGTCAACTCTAGGTTTCCAGATGTTGCCAGGCTGAGCCATTTGGCTTTTCTCACTGCTTGGAACCAACCACTACCGAACCTGAACCCTATACTCATCAGGGTGGAGCATCACGCGATGTGCAAAGGCTTGGGCGGAGCTGTTTTTGCCCCTGCCTTGATCACCATCTTCGGATCCTGAGTGCATGCGCTTTCTGAATTGGGCCGGAACTGGGTGCTTGGAATGGAACTGCAGCTGCTGTAGACTGAGAATGCTGCAGGAATCCTCAAAAAATGGACTGCCGAGCACCGGAAGATGGGAGGGCCGGAGGTTCCGATCACGACCCAAGAATCACGTGGTTGCATTTTTTTCGGGGGGTTATTCCACTGTAGAATGGGCCAATTTAGGAGGGTTCTCATGACTTCCGACGTCCGGGAGGTTGGTGCGAAATGGCTCCATGCCTGAAGAGAACCCCATAAGGCTCCAAAAAAGGCCCCAAAAGACACCTGCAGACTCTTGGCTCGTTTGATCACTGTGAGTTTCATGGCCCAGACACTTCGTGTATGGTATATTGACCGTGGACCGTGGACCCCACCCCAATGCATGTAATTACGTAATATGCCAGCCCAGTTCGGAGTGTTTGGAGTTCGGATGTCACCGATCGCGTCATTGAGGCCATTCGCAGTTCTCACGGAGGATCTGATCGCACGTGGGGAGACCGAGACCCACCGAAGCACGGCGCTGGATTCAGCTGTCTACATTTAAGTTTACATATCCCCGTCCTAAGTAAACTGCCAGCACTTAGAATAGAACTTAAACATTTGTCAGTTATGGTCAGGGATTTTATTTGCCAGTTCCTTGCTATACATGGGTGGTTACAATCGGATATGTGGACTTCACATGGTCAGTCACCCATTGGACTCTTGCAACCATCGACCGCCTCATCCAATTCTGTTGCACAAACAGCCGACCCCTACCACCTTACTCTGCACCCCCCC